AAAAAAAAAAGGAGACACACTTAAAAGGAATAGTTGACCCCAAAATAAAAATTTGATAAAAATTTACTCAGCCTCAGACCACCCAAGATGTAGATGAGTTTGTTTCTTCATCAGAACAGATTTGGAAAAATTTTGCATTACATCACTTGAGGCGTTTAAACTTTAAACCGTCACTTCTGGCTGAAAAATTACTCCATAATACGTAAAAATGCTTCTTCTGGTGAAAAGTCTATCCCTTGTTGTCCTCTCACATCAAAATCCACTGACATATGTGACCCTGGAGCACAAAACCAGTCTTAAGTCGCTGGGGTATATTTGTAGCAATAGCCAAAAATACATTGTATGGGTCAAAATGATAGATTTTTCTTTTATGCCAAAAATCATTAGGATATTAAGTAAAGGTCATGTTCCATGTCCTCTACAGAGGACAAAAGTCTATGCCTGGGTCCCAGGAGGATATCGATGTTTACCAGTTAATGGGTGGTTAACTGTGGCTATAAGATGGTAAACACAAGTAAAAGTATTCGATCAAAGTATAAACCGGTGACAGTTTGACACACTATACTTCATGTAAAACTATTGTGAGCATTTTATAATAGTGTATAATTAATTATTTCTTAGTTTAGTTAGTTTTACAGTTTTTTTTATAAACGAGATTTCATGGAGTATTTTGATGGTTTTTGAATGGATTTCTAACATGTTTTTAATTAGTTGTTGCATCTGTAAAAATACAGATGTTTAAAAAAAACAAAAAACACATGCATATCTTCCACAACATAATTAATCTTTTTTATTTACTTCAGTTTGCATTTACAACTTCAAGTACATTTACTTTAAAATGGTAAAAGGTGTTAAAAGATCCCAAATAAACTACCAGCCATCAATTGACGGTGCTAATTAACAAAAAAAGACTTCAGCCTGGTTCTTATTAAAAATTAAAAGAAGAAAAAAAAACAAGTGCATGATTAAATATTTCAGTGTTGTAGTTCACTAAATGATAATATAAATTAAAAGGCATTATTTCAAATATTTAATTCACACCATACTGTATTGTCAAAGCATGCAGGTGGATTTAGAGACTCATGATAAAAGTATGAAAATATGCTGTGCTTCTGAATAATGTACATTATTATCTGATGGTTTCTTCTTCATACATCCAGGGCTCAGACTCCTTTCACCTAAACTGTGGGAGATAAAAGAAGAAAAGAAGAACAACAACTTAGTATCTAAATTTCATTATAAAGGCAATATTGTTACTGGAATACAGGTAAAGTGGCCCAAAACGAACAGTGTCTCTGAATACTTACTGCATTCTTGAGGATGCTGCCTGATTTATGAAAGATTGAGGTTCGTTTAGAGCTGGTTTTGGCGGGCTCAGGTGCGGGGGGCTCCTGTCGAAGTGGTTCGAATCTGGGCGGGTCCAGTGTAAACGTGTCCAGACTGGGCAGTTCCATTGTGGGCGGGTCAGGAAAAACAGTAGGCAGTGAACTGTCAAAACTATTGACTGCGCTCTCTGGAGGCGAGTCCATGGGGATTCCTCCCATTTCGTAGTGCTTTTTCCTGAGTTCTCCCAATCGAATACGCTCGTTTTCCAGCTGCTTCTCCAACTCTAACACTTTCACCTATCAACAAACATGAGTACTTGATTTAATCCTTTGGGATTTGATTAGATTGTGTGTGAAAGTGTTTTAATACCTAAAACTCTACCATTTTTCACTCTGGTAAACTTACCTGGGAATCCATTTCTTCTGTTTTGAGCTTTATAAGAGACATGCTGGAAAAGTCCATGGAGTCTGTGGAGCAAAAAAAAAAAAAAAAAAACATATTTCTCTCCTGATTCATCTTTTTCACTGGAGGAAGCAATATTATGGATAGAGGACTCGTATTCTAGCTGGAAACAACAGTTTAAAATTTAAAAACGTGTTTATTATGAAAAATCTTTTCACTTCACAAGACATTAATTGATGGACTGGAGTGGTGTGGATTACTTGTGGATTATTGTGAGGTTTTTATCAGCTGTTTGGACTCTCATTCTGACGGCACCCATTCACTGCAGAGGATCCATTGGTGAGCAAGTGATGTCATGCTAAATTTGTCCAAATATGATGAAGAAATAAACTCATCTACATCTTATATGGTCTGAGGGTGAGTAAATTTCCAGCTAGTTTAAATTTTTGGGTGAACTATTCCTTTAATATGCATTCTGGCGTTGTTGAGGTGATAGCAATCTTCACAACTTGCGTAAAGTTTATTTCATGCTTTTTGCATTTGTGTCCATGACACTTACTCTTGTTCTCAATCTGCATTTGTCCTGATTTAGTAGATGACACCACAACAGCGGCCATGTCATTCACGTGTCGGGATGCTTGCTGTAAAGTTTGGAGTTTCTTGTTGCCTCGATCTGCCTTTACCTGTTAAATGAAGGATTGATGTGTCAGAATCAACAGATTTGATTTGATTAAATGCACACTTATATTGGTCTGAAGGATTTTACCTTTGAAGCAGCGACAAGTTGTGCTGTACTGGCCGCGATCTCATGAGAGCAGACGATCAGCTCTTCATATTTGCCTCTATCAGTCACGACTTTGTCAGCAGATTCCCTTTGTGAGATAATAAATCACAGTTAAAGGGATTGACACCAATAAATCCAGGTTAAAGCTTTAAATATTCTACACACTCACAGCATCTGCGTTGCACCCCATCCTACAGCCTTTGACGCTGAGATGAGACCCTCTGTCCAACATGAATTTTTAGCATAGAAGTCCTTGACAGAACCGGCGCCCTGACAGAAATGAGCAATAAACACACAAAACCCTGCGTTTGAGTGTGTGAAAACATAACATTTATGAAAACTATCTAAAATTTCCACTGTTACCAAATCATACCCGGCCACTTTCCACAATGTCTCTCTGCAGATCAGTAGCGGATGTCACCAGCATGTGTATAGCCTATGGACAAGATGACAAAAGTGATGAAAAATGACATTTATCTTGATATACACTTACACTATTTAAAAGTTTGGGGTCTGTAAGATTTTTTTATGTTTTAGAAAGCCCTGCTCACCAAGGTTGCATTTATTTGATCAAAAATACAGTAAAAACAGTAATATTGTGAAATATTATTACAATTTAAAATACTGCTTTCTATCTTCTATTTTAAAATGCTTATTCCTGTGATCAAAGCTGAATTTTCAGCATCATTACTCCAGTCTTCAGTGTCACATGATCCTTCAGAAATCATTCTAATATGCTGATTTGCTGCTCAAGAGACATTTCTGATTATCAATGTTGAAAACAGTTGTGCTGTTTTTGTAAAAAAAATTGTTTAAGATGCTTTGATGAATAGAAACTTTAAAAAAAAACAGCCTTTATTTGAAATCTTTTGTAACATTATAAATGTCTTCACTGTCACTTTTGATCAATTGTATGCATTTTAAATGGTAGTGTATTTAACAACATATTCATATCTGTGAATCTAAACATACCTTCATTAGATCTGAACACGAGCCAATGATGCTGTAATAGAACAAAATACAAATTTAAATACATAACACATAAACTACAAATTGTGTGTGTTATTTAAAAAACTATATCCCAAACTAACCTTTGGTTAACTTCCAGCTTCACTCCAGATGAATCTCTTCTTGCCAGGCTCAATATTTCCTGTATTACATAAGAAAAAAAACATGAAGTCATAGCAAATGAGTCCTGAGTTCAATCAAGAATCATTAACACCATGTAACTTACAT